AGCAAGATGTGTTTGCAAATTAAATTCTCTCCTTTCCTTTAATATTTGCTTGTGGTTGAGTAATGTAACAGAGGTTGATCTGTTTGTACGAAACCCATTTTGTTCTAACACCCCCCCATTCTAACTTTGCAAATTGGCGATTGGAGATATGTTTGTTTATTTTTTATGGCTTGTTAGATTCCTTCATTCCCAACTCTCAAACCTTTTCTATGTCATATTTCTTTTTACCAATGGCTTCTATTGCTGTTTTTTCAATGCAAGTTATTATATTATCCTTTTCCATTTCTGTTCTAGTCTTAGTTGGTAAAGATGCTGAATGCTTTCTTCTTGCAACAAGTAGGTTTTATAAACCTTTTCTTGTGATCTATTTCTATATTTCTGAGACTTCAACTTTTGCATCATTGTAAATTTTACTACTAACAAGGAGTTATCTTAAGAAGGCAATTTTCATTGATGTATTCCCATTCCTTGACTTTTATTTTGTCTTTCTTTTAGAATTTCTTTTTGGTAAATCTTTAAACAAGGTAGATAAGAAACGCTACTCTTGTCTCGGACTCTTCGTTTGTTGAATGCTTGTGACTCTAAACCCTGTCAATTGCTCTTTGTCCAAAATACTAGCTGAATGTGGCATTACAGATGCATTAAAGTGTTTTATAAATATTTTCATGTGTTGAAAATTTCTAGTATGCAAATTCTAAATAAAAGAAACTTTAAACATATAGTTGTCTGGTTCTGTCTGCCTCGAGTGTAGTACATAATAAAACTGTTTATTGAGAATCCAAATTATATAAAAAATACAAAAATTGTATATTTTCTATACCATTTTGACTGCTACACTTTTTGAATGTTTTTTTAGGACCGCGGCCAATACCCAACCCAGAATAAGTGTTGGAAACCGTAATTAGAATGTTCCCAGAGTTGTTTTGATGGGTGCAATCTTTCAGTGAATTATCGGGTGGTATTATAGGAAATTTGTATATTTTCAAGCTCCTATTCTAGAACATACCTTTCCATTCTTGTGGATTTATATTATAATTTTATAGTTGCAATTATCGTACACAAGGATTAGTAGTCGTTCACTGCAGAGCCCCCCCCCCCCCACAAAAAAAAAGTAACTGGTACAACTGCTTCATGTCGTGTAGGGTACCAACACCACGCAGAAGGGCACCAACACCACGTGGCATGGGCTGGACTAATGCCTGAAGTACTGTTGGAAGTAATTGACACCATAATTCTGCCGGACGGTCTATAAACCTGTAAGAGTACGAGGGGGTGGAAATCTCTTCTGAACTGCACGTTGCAAGGCATCCCAGATATACCAAATAATGTTAATGTCTGATGATTTTGGTGGTCAGTGGAAGTGTTGAAATTCAGAAGTCTCTAGCAATTCTGAACGTGTGGGCTGTCGAATTGTCCTGCTGGAACTGCCCAAATCCGTCGGGATGCAGGTGATCAGACAGAATGCTTACGTACGTGTCACCTGCCAGAGTCGAATATAGACGTATCAGGAGTCCCCTATCACTCAACTGCATACGCCCCATACCATCACAGAGCTTCTACCAGCTTTAACAGTCCCTTGTTGACATGCAGGATCTGTGGATTCATGAGGTTGCTATAGTTGTACACGTCCATCCGCTCGAAGCAATGTGAAACGACTCTTCAGACCAGGCAACGTGTTTCCAGTCATCAACTGTCCAATGAAGGTGTTGACCAGCCCAGGAGAGGCTTAAAGCTTTGTGTCGTGCAGTCATCAAGGGGTACACGAGTGGGCCTTCGGTCCGTACTTCCATATCGATAATGTCTCGTTGAATGGTTCGCATACTGACACTGTTGATGGCCCGACATTGAAATCTGCAGCAATTTGCAGAAGGGTTACACTTCTGCCACGTGTAATGATTCTCCTCAGTTGTCGGTCTCGTTCTTGCACGATCTTTTTGCGGCTGCAGCAATGCTGGAGATATGTTTTAGCGGATACCCGATATTCACGATACACTCGTGAAATGGTCGCACGGGAAAATCCCAAATTTCATCGCCACCTTGGAGATGATATGCCCCACCTCTCTTGCGCCGTCTATAACACGACTGCGAGTGAAAACGCTTCGTTTTTCCTGAGAAAAATTCCATTCGTGTATTGAAAAGCCTGTCTAATATTTTTTAGAAACCTGGCAAAAGAGAAATTGGTAGGTAATTTTGAATTTCATTTTTGCTCTGTTTTAAAAGTGGCTTAATATTTACTGTTTTGAAAATATCTGGAAATATTCCTGAGCATAAAGAAGCATTGAAAATGCGAGTTAACGGGAGTATAAAGACAGGTACACACGTACAGGTCTAAACTAGATGAATTTTTGTTTTACTGACTCTTCGTAAGATTTTGTTGGAAGAAGTTTCGGAAATGAACATCGTGTCAAAATTTTTTTGGGAAGGAAATGATGTTGAATTTTGCGGTTTTAATCCCTTCGTGAGTTCAGGAGCAATTCTAGAAAAGTATTGGTTGAAGAGATTTGCCACTTGTTCTGGATTACTGGTTTCTCTTTCATTATCTTTTAAAACAACAATCTCTACTAAGTAATGAGATGATGTGGTCGTATTTTTTATATTACACATTGCTTTAGTTTTATTACTAGCGTTCAAAATATTCTGATTATATTAATTATTTTTGCCTGAACTATTACTTAAAATTATTTTGTATTCTCTGAAATAGACATGGAAACCGGGTGATACGATATGTTTAGAAATAAAGTAAAGTGTACGTTTGTTTTTACACGATGTTCTAATACCTTGTGTGATCCAAGTAATATTTTCCCGTGAAATATTTTTTTTTCTTTTTGAGAGGAATGTATGCGTTAAAATGAAATGATGTGTTGTAGAAAACGTATTTGCTACGGTAAACGAACTACAGGTTTGTTTTTTCTGCATTGCTAACAAAATAGCAACTCACCATTCCACAGCGTGCGCGCCAGGCATACGGCTGCTGGTGTGAATAAAAGTATTCCAGACACCACAATAAACAAAAAACTCCTGTACGAAGTCATTGCCGCGCTGCTTGGACTGGCCATGCAAGTCGTGCGGCAGGTTCTGCGCTGGCGTGTACCCCAGATGAACAAGACTTTGTGATCAACCCATTCTCCCTCCCCCTCCTCATCAACTCACGGCCCGCCGTCACCCAACAGGCAACTTTCCCACCACCACACACCTATAACACACCCCTCCACTTCCACCCCCACCAACTTCATCTCGAGACCCCCCACCCCCGCCGGCGAACATGCCCAAACAAAACGTCCCCAAGATGGGAAAGGGTAAATCTAAGGTTAGGCTTGCCCTCACACCCACTTGTAAGCAATAATCTCCATTCCCGTCCTCGCCGTCTCCTATGGAGCCACTGCTAGCCCTGGAGGTAGGGATCTTCTACAACGCTCGAGGTGCGGGGTTTTATATACAAAACAAGCATCTAGCAGAAAAGACCATAGCGCCGATGGACTGGGGGTAATTATTCCTCTCCCCATGACGCCTCCACTCCTTCCCCGCTAATGCCTGTAGCACCCTCTCCCCCGCGGCGCCTAGTGCCCTATCCGCACCGAAAAAGCCGCGTGCATTCTGCGGCTTCGTAACAGAAAACAGCCCAGTGGTGAGAGAGGTATTGCCAGAAAAGCTTCTGCTAGCCCGCCTACCAAACAACAGGCCACCACGGGTCACAGTATGATGCGACTTTCCCATTAACCAGCAGGAACAGCGCCCCGTTCTGGTAAGGGCCATTGGTGAGTGGTTCGGAGGCACCGATGCGACCCTTAATAGATTTACGCCGGCGACAAATAAAAAATAAATAAATGAAAAACAACAACGAGAAAGCAGTGAACGACCAAGTTTAGCTCAGATTCCACATTGTTGTTGCGTCTACATTGAAGCCAGGAGGTCCTAGGTTCGAGTCCCGGCGGTGGGGGAGATTTTCTAGTGTGCGGGTGGTCTAATCGATAATCTTCCGTGGTTTCTCCTGAGCGGCGAATGCCGAGCATACCTTAACAAACGGGACGCGGGCCACGGACCGCGCGCGACCTTTCCTTCCTCTTCCTATCCACTCCCCTTACACACACACACACACACACACACACACACACACACACACACCACAGCGTGTTCCCACTCGGCCACGCACGTTCGTGCTTCTTCAAGCAGCAGAGCCCTTTAGACGCAGCCACGGCTGCATCGCGCCCGCCGTGGAAGGGGTGGGGTCTGGAGGGGTAGGTTCGCCGACCCTCCGGCGACGACGAACAAAGGGACCGGAGCAGGTAGAACGCAGCGAACCGGCGGCCACAGTGGGAAGGCTCTCATTTAAGCTGTGTTCGTCAGCTAGAATAGCGGGTGGCGCGTGCCCCCTCCTCCGCTTCACGTGTAGCTGGAGTTCGGCGTCGGCTGCCGCAGCAGCCACTACCCGCTGCACGTGGGAAGGGCCTCCATCAAACCAATGCTTTGCTACGCGCCGCGCTGCTGCGAAGCGCGCCGCGGTCGCGCCGTGGGAAGGGGCCCTTACACTTATAATATTTACATTACACTACCATACATTCAGAAGAGCAGTCAAGAGCTTAGAGCTCGTCCCGGTTGGGGCGATGCCGTATTGGATAAGGTGCCTGGAATAGAAAATCCCCTGTAACTATGCGTGGCTGGACACATAAATAGCGGAGAATTATTATTATTATTATTATTATTATTATTATTATTATTATTATTATTATTATTATTATTAAATAAAAGAACGTAGCAAAGCGTTTTGAGATTATTCAAGTCAAAACTTAATTTTGTCTCGCCAAAATTAATTGTGCAGTGCCTTAGTCTGCTGGCGGCACAAGATCTACTTTTTTATACCATCTCCGGAGCCTAGAGCTCTATTAAAAAGCGCTTTACTTAGACCTGTCTTGAGCTGCTCTGAATTGGATGTGATTGAGTTCGTCGCCGCGAGAGGGCACAGTGTTGTACGTGGGCGTGTGATTCAAAACTGCTCGGTGATTCGGAGACTTCCGAGACTTCGGTCGGAGTTCAATGGCGATGTGTGTAAGGTGGGAAGTTTTGACGTTCGTGCACAAGAAATGTCTAAATTGGATTCTTCTTGCCACTTTTATTTGTACTGTGAATTACGCATGTAGTCAGGATGATCCTACGGATCTGGCTGAACCGACGGTTGTTATCGCCATTCTTATCAGGAATAAGGCTCATACATTGCCTTATTTTTTGACACTTCTGGAGAGGTTAGATTATCCGAAAGACCGCATTTCTTTGTGGTAAGTTTTATTTTTTAATATTGATCAAATTACAATTGTATATTACGTGAGAACAGTGGATATATGCGATGAAAAGTTTAATTTCATGTAGCCATAATATGGTGTTTTTATTTTGGGGAGTGCATTAAAGCCTGTCGCTCGGAAGATCAGACTATTCCTGTTGTAGTGTATTCATGATATCAATTCTTCACATAAAATACGATTTCTTCACGCGTAACCAATACAACAATATATTGTCAGTTAAGTACCTTACTTATTTCTGCAGAAAAATGTGTGGTATTAATTACAGAATATATTTATAGGATGAGAAGTGACCATAACATAGATGACACCCTTACTGTTTTAAGAAGATGGTTAGATGTTGCAGAAAGAGATTATCATTCTGTCAATATAAAACTCACAGAATCTCCTCCAGAAAATCTCCCTGATGAGACAGGTCCAGCTCATTGGTCTCCAGAGAGGTTTACACATATAATTCATTTGAGAGAAAATGCTTTGAATTATGCTCGAGGTTTGTGGGCTGACTTTGTGTGGGTATGGAAACTTCTTTTAATGTTTTAATATTTAAAATTGCACACATGTGAGTTTTAAGAAAGTTTCTCCCGTTGTCATATTATTAAATGTAATGTATTAACATTTATTTTCCAGTTTCTTGATGCTGATGTCTTTCTGACTGAACCCCTTGCACTTCGTCAACTGATTAATAAGCGGTTCACTGTTTCGGCACCGATGCTACGTTCTGATGGGCTATATTCTAACTTCTGGTGTGGTATGACTGATGATTATTATTATCTTAGAACAGACGAATATCGCCCTACTCTGAAGAGAGAAAGGCAGGGGTGTTTTGTGGTCCCTATGGTGCACTCAGCTGTACTTGTTGATCTGCGACGAGCATCATCGCGTCATCTTTCTTTCCTTGCAAGTAATGTGCCTGGATATTCTGGTCCTCACGACGATATAATTACTTTTGCTCTGGCAGCTAATAAGTCTGGTATGTTCATACAATGTAATAATATCAGGGAAGTATTGTATTTTCTTGTTTGAATTACCAATGAAGGTTTTCTATGATTTTATTGTTTAGGAATACCCTTTCATATTTGTAACGAAGAGTTATATGGCTACATTATGGTTCCTTTGGAACAAACTGACTCTCTTGACGTTGATTATACCCAGCTGACAAATTTAAAATTAGAAGTTCTAGGTGAGTAATTAACATTAAAAGAATATGAAATAGTGAGGGGAAGGAGAAAAAAAAGCATTTTTCTCTAAAACGTAAAACCTTTAAGAGGATCAGAACCTTGCAATTTAAGGAAACGTTCTATGTATATTTTGAATTTAGGTACTAAATAATTTTGTATGTTCTTGTTATTTTACTTTAAAATTTGTTTTTAGATTTGTTGAAATTATTCATTTCATATTGGATTATTTTTAATCATTTTTTGTTTAGGACGAAATGTATAAAAGGTCAATCTCTTAACTATTGTATATTTCTCTGGGCTCATTTACATTACTATGCAGTCAGCTTAAATTACTTCAGAGCAAGTTCTTATAGAAGAATTAACAAGTTAATTATGTGACCTCTATTTGATCTGGTTAGGAGTTAAAAATGATTTGACGAATTATGTTAATATTAGATGTGTGTTCCCGAAACAGTCTGTATGTTTTGGTCTGGTCATATCAGATGTAAGATGTTTGTTGACTGATGCAAGAAGAAAATTTGAAATGTCTCGCACTGTCCAGTAATGATAAGATACCAGTGAATCAGTTTTCTAAAGTGTTTAGAAAGTATACTCTAACAAATAAAATAGATATTTTTTGATGATTGTCATGCCATTGATTGTCATGTCAATGATTGGATTGAAATGACAGATCAATTGATCTGTCATTTCTTAAAGACATTTTCTGAAAATTGTTTATCTTTTGAGAATGAATGGCTTCTTCAAACAGTGATGCAGTATTCATTTGTGAAATGTTAACCAGATAGGGAGATAAATTGAATATTTTCATAAATTGAACTTGCACATCAGTTAGAAAACACCATTTAACAGAGAACATTCTCCCATTTTCAGTGGAAAATCCTCCTTTGCCCTATAATCAAATGTTTGGTGATTTTGTGACGTATCCAAAAAAGGACACATTGGGCTTTGATCGAATATACATGATAAATTTGTTGCGGCGACCTGAACGCCGTGAACGAATGCAACATTGTTTTGATGAATTGGGACTGCAAGTCACTGTCTTGAATGCTGTGGATGGGCGGTGAGTAAGTTAGTTCAGTGCATGGTAAAATAAATAATAAACTAAGTCATATTATCACTGCAAAAAGGACACTGTTTGTGTGCATTCATTGGTTTACTTCAGCATTTAAAAATTAATATTCATCAAGTTTGTGTATGATCATTGTAAGTCTAAAACCTTAAAATATTGAGGATTTGACATTTCAAAATTGATGATTAAATTTGTCTAAAGAGTTTTGTTACAGAAATATTGTTTAAAAGTTATAAACATATTGAAAATTCTTGTCCCATTGAACTATTTTATAATGTTTTAGTTCATATTATTCTCATAGTTGTCCTCTTTTTTGGGTTTCATTGAGTTGAATTATTCCTTTTCCCCCTGTTTGTCAATCTCTCTTTATTATCCCCTTTCATTTAGAAGTTTAAATGCTTAAAAATAAATGTTTTGTTTTAGAAAGCTCAATGCTAGTCTTCTTGGAGAACAAGACATTCATATGATGCCAGACTACCAAGACCCTTACCACAAAAGGTTGGTTTCATCTAAAGTATTCTGCTTATTATGTCATTGTCATTTGCAACTGATGTGAAAATAATAGTATCATGCAGTAACTTTTACATAGAAGCAAAAAAATCTCTTAACTTATTTTTGTTATCCCAATGTGCTATGAAATGAATGATAAATTGGAATTGAATATTCCTTTAAATAACCATTAAAGAAAATGAAAATGGAAAAATAAGGCAAGTAAGCAAAAAAATATATATCCTCCAGCCCATGTTCATTTTAAGTGTTCAAAGCATAGTTCTATTGGGGAGTAGGTTTTACACTCCTCCCATCTCCCTCCCCAATTTACAAGAATATTTATAAAAAAATATTTTATCATGTCATATGTTGGATGTAGAGTAAAATTTACTGAACAAGAACTGATGATTTTTTTTATTATTTGCAAAACGTTTCAGACCATTGACAATGGGTGAAGTTGGATGTTTTCTATCTCACTACAATATTTGGAAAGAGGTTTGTGTTATGAATTATATTTTTGCCAATCAATTTTTTTAAAGTAAATTTATTGTGGAATATTGTGTAGCTGTCAATCACAATAATTTTCTTACTTTTGCCTATTATATTTGGAAATACAGTGAAACCTGTCTTAAGCAACCACTGGTAAAAATTGCCCATTAAAAGAACTGGCCGTTTAATCAAGGTAATGAAGATGTTTGTAGTTACTTACCAGAAGCGTAAATAAAATGCGCTAATTACTTTGATACAACTTATGTTTTTTTTAACATTTTTAATTAGTGTAAATGACAAAATACTAAATTGTATTTTCTTTCAAGGAACTTTCGATCATTTGCTTCCTTAAAGCTAATATTAAAACACACCCTTGACTTGTCACTCATTATCTTTCTCAAGACACTTTGTCCTTGCTGAATCAAAATGAGCAAACTAGCCTTGAAAATATAATTCATATACTGTAGAGACTTTAAGGGAGGGCCATTTGACAAAGGAAAATTTGCAAATGACCTTTAGATTGAATTTGCACCCATAGGTGTGGCCTGTGAGTCTTTAACAGGTTCCCACAGGAGGGAAGTGCGAGGCAGCAAGTTGTAGGAACTTTTAGTAATACTGTTAAATCGGAGACACAAATATGATGTTTCATAAGATATATACGGGTCATTCCATGTCAAATCGCACAAATTTAAGGAAAATTTGACCTTGCAGTCCCAGATTTTAAAACTTTTTCTGTTAAGAATATAAACAAAATTATAAAAAAAAATTTTTTCATTTTTTTCCAAATATTATTTTTTGAGAACACATTAATTTTCAAAATTTTCAAAAAATTGCTCACATTACTAAATTTGATTATTTTTAACTAGTGTTGTAATTCTGACAGGAATTTAATATTTTGTGACATTAAAGAACAAAAGATGCTCTTTCATTTGATGTATATATTCAATTCATTAAATCTTAAAAAAGGCATTTTGTGATCTCTTTCATTTTTAATTTTTTAAATTCCTCCCAAACTTCAACTGTTTTAAATAAAGAGAAAACCACACACACATTGAAATCTCTAAAAATTTCTATGTAAGTTTTGTAAGTTATAAAGTGGAACATTGGGATGGTTCTGAGAAATTAAATACAATAGAAATGTCTTCTTGCTATTTTGCTGCAGCATCTGCTAGAGCATCACTCTTCAAGTATGTGACAATCATCATTAGACGATTATCATCAGTATACTTTCACAGAGCAATAAATAGAAATATCCCTTCACATCTTACTATGTGCCATATACATACATATGACCTTCATAACCGATTAAATTTAAATTAGAAAGTGTCAAACTTATTCAATTTAGTATTAAATGGATGGAATATGTATACAAATAAGAGTATGTGATATAGTTAATTACGTTGATGTTTCTTTTACTTTACTTTACAGAGAATATGGTTGTAATTCACCTTTTCATAAAAAAATCAAACTATGTATTTTCTTTGTGCCTTCTACTGTTTTTTTATTGTATCATTGTTGCAAAAGTCCTCTTTCTAAATATTATTCAGTGTTGCTAAAAATATAAAGGTAATATTTTTCACATTATCATCACTTAAATAACTTCATGGGTAAATTAAAAGGTTCCTGTCAGGATAGAAGGCTAGCTTTTATCGAGAATATTATAGTTGTGGCCCTCCTCCTCCTCCTCCTCCTCCTCCCTACAACACATGGTCAGTTTCCACAAGTTGTTGCGAAGTGAAGAAATGCCATTCAGATCTCACATTGAAGACATCTTTGTAGAAGCATAAAATCACATTGTTTTTTAATAACGTGTTTACAAAAATTATTTTTACATATGAAAGTACATATTTTTAAGTTAAATTTAAGTGTCATGTTATTTTTACGATGGAAACAGTATTTGCTCACAAAAAGTCTATACATTAGCGCACGCATGATTTTTAGGAAAAAATAATTGGTAATGTTTCTTAAAGGGGTGGGGTTAGAAAAAAAAAAGAAAAAAAATGTATCATTACTTTCCATCCCTAGACCTTATAAAAAAGTTTCAAGTCACTAAAAGTAGTGACGTTTTGCGAGTGTGCAATATGACATGGAATGACTTGTGTATCAAAATTACCTCTTGTTACCTGAAACAGAAAGTAATCCCCTATGCCAGATACAAGACTGGATGTTATTATTCAAAGTAATCTGACAAGGTGTCTAGGTAAAGAAGATATTAAATCAACAGTAATTGCTTGAAGTGACTGCTAAGAAAAGGTCATTCTACGGAAAGATGCCTTGCAGTTGGCCGTTCAATCAGGTGTGCTCTGAAAAGAGGGAATGTTAACATGTGATTTACGGATTTGGTTCCCACTCAAATATGCTGTTTGTGGAGGTGACAGCGTAATCGAGGTGGCCATTTCAGCAGGTTTCACTGTAATCAATTAATGACTACATCACTATATAGTATTATAAGATTGGGAGTCTTGATCTGGTGGATGATTAAATCAGAACCAGAGGCCCAATTTTTGCTCGTAATGTTATCATTGAATACAGTCTTGTACTCTTTGTTTTCATTTCCTGATGATTCTACAATTCTTAGTTTGAAAGTAGGAAATAATGTAACAATGAAATAAGCTATTATTCACTAATTTTTTATCTCCACACTTAAAAAACTTTATCTTTTAACAAAATGTAGGGGAAAATATTCAGAAGTCATATGAGATAGTACATTTATGTTCTGTGTATATTTAGGTTTTGGCTCATGGTGACCAAAAGGTCATGGTTCTAGAGGATGACATTCGATTTGAACCATTCTTCAGACAGAAAGTTGCACGGTTGATGGCAGAACTTGAAAGTTTAAATATTGATTGGGACCTTGTGTAAGTTATTGTAATTTTAGTTTAACTCTGCTTGAGACGTACACTTTATGTTCAATTGAATATAACATTTATTTGTATTAACATGGTTAAATTCTGTATTCAATGGTGGTGTGTGGATTTGTAATACATTAATTTATAGTAATGCATTTCTTGGATGGTAAATGGGAATTATAAATTTTTAATTATGAGCTGTGAGACTGTTAACGTATCAGCTCTGAATGTTTTATTTTTAAAAACATGAGTTATGAATTAACAATTACATGATTTAATGATACACTGTTTTGTATTTAATTTCCAGAAAATATTAAAAACAATTGGTATTCTTTTCCTTAATATTCTCAACATAGTCCAAACTTTTCTCTTCAGATCTTTATTTTGCCATTCATGTTTTTTTAACTTGAAATTTGGGGTATTACCCAAACTATATCTAATCACACATTTGGAACCATACAGAAAATATGTATTGCTTTCATGTTTATTTTTCAAACTACTACTAGTTTAATTTTCACAAGACCAGAATAAAGGAAGCAATCCATCAAAAATGCTTTTTGAGGCTGATATTCTTCTCCTTTTTCATGTGTTGTACTCATCTGTTTGTGGTAATATTATTCTGATTAATAGTTGTTAATGCTTACCCCCAGGTACCTAGGAAGGAAACGCCTGCAAGAAGCAGATGAACCATGGGTGGAAGGAGCACATTTGTTGGTCCATGCAGGCTATTCTTATTGGACATTAGGTTACTTATTAAGTAACAGAGGGGCACAAAAACTTTTAGATGCCCGTCCTTTGGAAAAACTGGTACCTGTTGATGAATACCTACCCATTCTTTTTGATAAACATCCACAGTAAGTTTTCACAGTGAATGAAGTAGACTGGTTCGTTAGGGGATCAGGGGAGGAGTAATTAGTTTCTCTTAATGCTGGAAAGTGTTATTAAATGTATGGAGCAACTCTTGCTTGGAGCTAGATTTCTATTAGAACAAATCTGTTGGGTGACCCAAGTTGACCTGTGTTGTAGCAGTCAGATAGCTTGTTTCCATTGCTGGGCCCAGAGTTCTATCAATGTAGAATTTGGGAAACAAAGGGGGTTGACAACAAGATTTTTTGGTGGGTACTCACATTTTACATTCCTCATTCCACTGCTCCATTTTCATTCATTTCATTTTATTCGTTTATTTGCTTGCATGCTTGCTCGCTTGCTTGCTTGTTTGCACAATACCTAGCTTAATAAAGTGAGGCTCACGAGAATCACATTTCATCAGCAAAGCATACCCATCATCATCTCATCATCTCTTAAAGTGGCATTGTAATTATGGGAATAATAATGTAGATACTTATACGGCATACATGAAGGTTTCTTTGTCTACTCCTCCACAAACACATGGTATTCTGCCCATGATTTATTCTATTACCCTATTGTTGTGATGTAGTATGAAAAATTAAAATATTTAGAATTATGAACTTCAAAAGAGATACATTTTGGACAAATTTAGATTTCATGACTGAAATATTGATTTTGAAAATTCTGTTTGATCGGTAGGCAATAATTAATAATTAATTTTACTTAGATGAGACAGCTTGTACAATTGAACTTAATTCTTTTACGTATATACTATTGTGATATTAACTTTTCATACATATAACTCATATCTCATATTTCATACATATCTCAGAATATAATTCCTATCTGAATATTCAGGTAGTTAATTGATTATTACTTCATTTGCTTCACAGTCCCTGACCATGTTATTAGATGTATCCTAAGTCTTCAATAAAAGTAAACTTTTGTGATGAAATTTTATTTTTTTATTTTCAAAGAAACGCACATGAAAATACTGAATATTTACATTTAATATTCATATGTAAAATGGTGGCGGCCTGTATAATATATAATAAACTAATTTTGAAAACAAATCTCCATGCACATTCTGAATACATACTTTGTCAGAACACCTTTGGTGGCTGTTAGAGCTGTAATTCCTCCTTGGCGATTTCCCTCTTCATGAGTTCCGAGACATTTTCTATCGAATTCATGCCTGGTGAATTTCCTGGCCATTATAACACAGGGATATTTTTCTCCAACAAAAATAATCGAACTATTCAAGCAATGTAGCATGGGGCATCATCTTGCTTAAAACAAAAAAAATCTTCATTTTTGAACAATTCCTTAAGTTGAGGCAACCATAAGTGTCTCCAGGACCTGTTTGTACTGGTCTTGTCCAATTATGTCCTTAACCCAGTACAGATGTGCCTCTGCCACAGATCACAGGCCAAATTATGACTGACTGGATATTTCACAGTTGGCATGACACAATCTGAATGATACTTTTCACTAGGGCGACTTATCAAAAATTGATGTTTGTCTGCTAGAATTTTAAAAGTGCATTTGTCATTGAAACACACCTAAAATACAAATGACATTAGAATTCCATTTAGAAAAGTTATAATTATAGCAAAAACACTCAATTAAATATTAACAAATTTCCAGAAGTCCAAATCTTTATCTTTAAGATTAGCTCATTTCAAGACGTTTTTCTTTCACAGTATTTTTTAATCTGGACTTGTTGGTGGGTGTGCATACTTTACAATTCAATTGTAGTTGTGTGGTATGCCTTGCTGTCCTTTCAGATACACAGATTCCACTACTTTCCAATTTAAATTTAATCTGTTTAGTAGTAGCAAACAGGTTTTCATGGCAAAGCTTCCAACAGCTCTCTGATCTTGGGATAAATATTCTTTTCTCACCACTTGTGTTCTCAAAAGAGCATAATTCTTCACTAAGAACTTTCTTGATTCGTTGAACAGATGTCTAGACAAGTTCCTGCCCTGTCTGTCCGGGCAGACAGGTTCAACCTTCGAGATATTTCAAGATTTGACTAATTTTCTGAGTTGAAAAGTTCTTTTACAATGGCAATCCACATGTCTTTCTCATTATTTTTTCAAATCTCTTAATCTTTCGCAAATAAGAAGTCATAATTATTAAATAAATATTGCTACATTTATTTCACAAACCAATAAATGGAAAAGAAACAATTTAATGAAGCAACAACCCACTTATGTCACCACCTGTTCCACTGAGCCCTCTAGTTTTTGTATCTAAGCAACAATGTGTCACAACAATGGTACATTAAGAAAAATAATATTTTTATTCTTGGCTTCATTTTCATTTTTTTTTTAATGTATTTATATTTCAGGTTGTTATAAATACATATTTTCAGTATGACATATACAGAAAATACTGCAGGAGGCTCTGCCTGTACACAGACCTGAAAAAACTTTATTACAAAAACTTGCTGCTAACATAAAAAAAGCACTGCTAACATAAAAAAAAAATCTAAAGGAAATAAAATAAGCATGTAAGTTTCAGTGGGTGGGTGGACTTTGTAGAAAAACAAAAAGATGTAGGAAGTTGTTGTGAATTGTAAATAAGAGAAAAATGAATTTATAATATGTCTGTCCAGATGAATCAAGAAAGCTCTCAGTATTTTGTCATTTTGTAACTTTTTTACAATAGTAGTTTTTAAGATATCAGTTAATGCATTAAATGCATTAATTCCAACTACATTATGATTTCTCAGGTACAAGTCTTTGTTATTGTTTCGCAACAATGCCATATGTAATGTATTTCAAGCCTTCAGAACTTAACATTTTATTAAAAATTGAGAGTGCATCTAATAATATGACCAGGTACTGAATATGTAGTAATGCAATAGTTAGTACTTATGACATGAAGAAAACTCTAGGAGGTCGCAACCTTGTGATGAAATTAAATGTTTTTTAAATCTTTTAATTTTATTTGTCTATACTGTAGTGTATTTAATGGTTTTATTAAATATCAAACACCATAGACATTATTAGAAATTTGATCAATCAGTGTGTACAAATTTTTAAATCATCTTAAGTTGACAGTTCCTTAATATTTTTATCAACATTTTGTATAATATAATACTTTAACAAGAAATTGCAGAAATGAGAAATGGTAAATCTCCAGAACGTTACTATGTTCTAAATTTCCAGACTAACGTTACTAAATCTCCAGAACGTACCAATAGTTAGGGAAGAAGTTCCAAATGAATGCAACCTAGCATATCTCAGTTCCAATCATAAGAAAGGTAGTAAAAAATCATGTGGCAACAATTATGGAATAAGCATTGCATGATCTATTGGTATGTTGTATGGTCAAATCCTGAAGTCTAGAATAGAGGAGACATTAAGAAGAACAAAGAGGCTTCTGTAAAGGGAGGTCATTCAATGACAACATATTTCCTTTGAGACAGATTGTTGCAAAAAGATTGGAAAACAGTTCAAACAGTTACTTGATGTCTGTCGATCTTGAAAAAGCATTCAATACCTCCCATGTAAGAAATTATATGATGTTTTGCATCATAGCAAAGGAGTCAAAATATATGTAAAGAGTATATTTAACCTGTACAGAGCAGTAAAATGTGTGATCAAAGTGGGGAAAAAATTACCAAGGGAAAGACCAAAGGTTTAAAACAAGGATTCTGCCTGTTGCCAACATTATTTAAGACATACTTATATTCAGAAAGCATTGGAGCTATGGTGCAGGAAATGCGCAGGCATGGGAGTTCCGAAAGGGAATCAGTAAATATATACACTTTTTGTTGATGATCAGATGCTTGTAGCTGGTGATGAAGATATTTCCTTTACGATCAAAAAATTATGTAAAGAATGTACAAAATGGGGTTTAAAAATAAATTTTGAAAAATCGGAATACCTGTACTGTGGAGAAGATCTTAGAATCATAATATTCCACCAAAATCGAATGCAAAGATAAACTCATCTCTACAGATCTATTTTGGAACCTTCAATAACATATGAAAGGGAAATTTGAGAACTTATGCAAAAAAATAAATAAAAGTAATATAAAATAATAGAAACGGATTATCTCAGAAAATCTTGAATCTCTCTTGATTACAAGATCTTCAAAATCAAGTAAGCAATGAAACAATAATGGAAATGGTCTCAGCATGATAACGTTTCTCAGAATTCAAGAGGGGGAGGTAGCTTTTGTGGCTGTATCATTTTTTTATGGAAGGGGGAGAACAGATGATCATAAAGGGACCTGCTTTTATCCAGCTGAGGGAGAAATAAACATTGTGGTTGGTAGGAGTATAAGAAGTCATGGCAAGCCAAAGATATCGAGGAGAAAAAAGCATGGCAAGACCGAGGTGTGTTACATTGGAGTTGTGGGATGCATCAACAGCTGTTCTACCTCTGCAGATGATGATGATGGTATTGATGATGATGTAATATTTTAATCAAGGATATCGTAGAAGTAGGTCTTTGCTTCTTCATTTAATTATTTGACTAAAGCTGATATACAAATATATGTTTGCTTAAGTATTGTTAATATAATAAAATGTTAAGTCTCATTGTTCATTATTTAAAAATAACATTCTCAGTTATTTGGTTATGAAAAAATAGATTAAAAATGTTAAAGACAGTTTTTCAGTAATGTTGAACAGTATTACAAAATATGGCATTTTTCAATAAATGGAATTTTTAAATTGACTTTCAGGTGTCATTAATGTTGTTTAAGAATTAAATTAATTTTTAATTCTTATTTTTTAAATTAATTAAAAAATTCAGAAATAAATCTTCAATACAAAGAAAAAATTGTAAATCTGTGTTTTTGATCCTGTTTTTGTTTAAGCCATTTGGAACATGTAGAGACACTGAACACGAACAGATATTTAAAAAATTAGAGATATCATTTAAAATTTCCCTTTTGCAGAATTCCTTACATTGAGAAGAAAATCCCTTGTATGGACATTTTATTCTAAGAGATTTGATTTTAATACTATATTTGTAACATTAAAAAAATATTCATGTAAGTGCTGTTTTTAACATTTTATTAAGTACATGTGATTAAATTTGAACAAAGCAACTAAAGTAAAAATAGTAATTTATTTTGAGATTTTTTTAAAGGATTTTAATTTATTCATAATTTATAAGACTTTTGTATTGTTTTTTCACTATCGTGAAATTAATTTCAATGTGCCTTGAAGCATGTTCTCTTACATTTCAGAATAGATGATTCTTTGTTTAGTGAAATTAACAAAATATCTTGACTGAAAACCAAAACCAGAATATTGTTGTGAATGTTTCAGGGCATCTTGGAAAGGACGGTTTCCTCGACGAGATTTGCTTGCCCTTTCAGCTGCTCCATTGCTTGTGTATCCTACTCATTACACAGGTGAGAAAGGATACATAAGTGATACAGAAAACTCTACCGTAATTGAAGACATGAAGTCATCTGATGCATCGTCTCATCAGGATCTTTAGCAGTTGTGTTCAGCATTTTAGTATACATGCTCAATTTACGATGAATACTTACAGAAACAAATGCAATCATATTCTGAGTGATGAATTTATACATTTTAAGAGTTGTTGCCTGTTGCTTCACCATATCAGTGTTTACGGTCTTTTGGTTTTTGAATATTTTCTCCATATTTTAGCAAGAGTTTTTTTACTCTTAATAGCCATATTTCACTTAAGTTACTGCAAAAATTTGGGCATAAGAGGAGATATTCCTATTTCAAAAGAAATATTTAATATTTTTTTTTTGCAGGATCATTGTTTTGTTCTAATTGGGGTATAAGTAGATTGTACTTGAATCATAGGTTTATTTCCTTAAGAGATAGGAGAATTTCGCTGTGGCTGTTAGTTTTATAGTGTCTTTTTCAATCACGTAAGTAATTACTATGTTAATAACAGCAAAAGTACAGTGTTGTTTTCCATTCCAATGAATTTCATGACATATGTTGATATTGTTTCTCACCTCATGAAAATGAAACACCATAATTTTGTTAATGTGGAAACATCTTTGGATTATGTAACTTAAATGTATCAGTGTGTATTTTGGTAAAATATTGTCTTTTTATACCTATACCATTTGTTCTTTACATGAAATTAAGAGTTTAGTGCAAGATTTTTCAGATGAAATCACAATGTAGGGTCAAATATGAATATTTGCAGTTATCCTCATTTCCAACAAATTGAAAATTTAATCTATTTTACAAATCCGGAAGAAATTAGTCTAAATTGGCACAGGGTACAAGTACGTACATTGTTTCCTTGAGAATTGTGCAAAACTGCCTTGTTGTTATATAGTCATATCCACAATTTTCTAGAGGAAATTCTGTGCATTTTAATAAACAATATATACAAGAAGAGGAGAATTATAAAAGTTAGTCAATTTATGAAGGGTGCATGTAGTCACACTGCAGTGGAATCATTCATTTTTTAAATGATAATGCAATAATCCACATATATCTAGTCCTGCCAATTACACTTTTAATCGGGTAACATTTTGCCATCTCTAAGTGTCCTATGTCACTGTGGAAATTGGTTTTCATTACTGAATTTTGCTACCATGGATTTTATAGTTGCTGTCGCATGCTTATAGTTGCCCACTTGATGTCACATTACTGGATCAGTACAAGAGTTCTCACTGAGGAGAAAACCCAGGATCAAATACTGAAAGGTGTGTGAAGACTTTCATTACCAATTGTTAATTGATCAGTTCTACAAATTTAACAGAGTTTCAAGTGAAGTTCAGTTCTTTTTAAAGCCATGGGCAGCATCATAAGAACATTTACTATTCTGTATTTCTGATGTTTGTGATCGAATTAAAATGAGTATGGTACATGCATTATAATAAAATGAATAAAAGGGGTGGCTGAGATTCATAGTAATATGTCGGTCATTAGTGCTTCAAAATTCTGGATATGTTTCCACAAAAGCACTTTTTGTTTTTGACTTTATAAAAACTCAAAATCCTCTTGTTCGTGGTAGGTAGCATCAATATTATTTGTTGAAAGTTGTATATGAAGTATAGAGGAAAGTTTAAAAAATCTATACTAACTGGAATTTGAAAATGCTAATGATTTAGAATTGGGCCACTGTAGATCTCAACCCCCTTGTATGCATGTACTATTATGCAATGTATTTACCTGAATATAAGACTACCCCATAATTTTAAAGAGGCCTTCTGAGAATTTTTAAAATTGTTAACTAATTCTTACTATTTAGTCAATAAAATTCCAAATTGCATATTGTCTAATTGATTAGAAAATTGCCTAATGTTATACCTCCTGCATGAGCTAACACTATTTTCTTGTTCCATAATATAATCTCAATCATGGTTTGTATGGTTTGTGCATTATTGTTTCTTTTTGGTCCACCTCCCATGCTACAATGTCCTCTGGCTTTTTAGGCCCCTCAAAAGTTTTGGATTTTGAATTTGCAGTTTTAGTCTTCACCTAAGAACATTACCTTCTTTGTCACTAGATTTTCTTCCTGACCCGCCCTTATTCATGACCTCGGATTTTTAAACAGTTTTTTCACATTCTTCAACATTAAATACTTGAAATTTACATAATTTAATGAGCGATTAAGTTGTGAACTGCAAAATCATACATCTCTGCTTCTCCTTTTCTTTTATAACATTGAAAATACTAAACTTTTCCACGTTTGGGAAGTTTTTGCTTAGAAAATGTTTATCATCCTTTTCTGTGGTTGGATGTACAATGTGTGTGTACGAATGTCAACATGCATTTTTTCTTTTCCATCTCTTGTAAAAGGCTGATTTGCACTAGCCAGGCATCTAACTGAGTGTGCACCTTCCGGAATCTTGTAATGCACATTTTGTTACAAAATCTTGGAAACTATTTTTATTCGTTTACTTCGTTTTCATGTTGCATTTCACTTCATACAATGCCATTTGTTTGATATTCCCTTTTTAGTGGCTCATTAAAAAATTGGTGTGAATTGCCTGGCTAATTTGTGATGGATGCTGAAAATATGACTAGGCTTAATCTGTGAATATATGACAACCTCATATTTTTTGGGAGAAAACCTCAACTTATATTCAGGTAAATATGGTATGCATATATTAAATGCATTTATGTAAAGAAATATATTATAATAAGTATGTGATATATGTATTATGGAAACTACCCATCACAGAGCTTGAATTACCATTGAATCGGACATTAAAGTGATGTGACTGGTTGTTTTGTACAAATGTCAATTACTTATTTTAATTGAAGTATGAAGCACTTAGTGCATTTATTATTCAAATTATTTCATGTGCATCACTGTTTAAAACTGTACATAATTGCATAACAGCCTTAACAGGTGAAGTTAATTTTTCTTCCCTGGTTGAGATTTTTTACCATTTTTTATTTACTTAATATGTATTAAAGAAGAGGCAAACCCAACTTAATATTAGACAAAGTAAAGTTTTTTTTAGAAAGTATGTTATGGATGGCTTCCTTTTCAGTGACCCAAAGTCTGTGAGTAAATACAAAATGTTATTACACTAATCCACTTAATATTGTAAGCATATATTAATTTGCTACTTATACATTTTATCTCTCTATGAAACCAAATTTTGTCTAAATTAATTAGGTTTTCTGTGAATGGCTTCTTCTTGTGTTTGCAAAATCAAAACCTAGGAAGCTCTTACAATATTTCCAACTTCGTTTCATTTGTATTACTTATTTGTATATGGTGATGCAATAGGAATGAGTATGTAATTAAGCTATATCTGCATATGTTTTGTTTTGCTACACAAAACATCAAATATTGACTTTTTTACACCCTTAGTATACAGTTGTGATAAAGATGGTATATTTTTAATGTGAGATTGAATGAAGTGCCTTTGGTCATTTTAAAATATCATGACTATTTATAATCTTGTCACTAAGTGCCACAATTTATTTCATTTCTGTAAATAATTTGCTGTGAAACAGGCCAGTTTGCATTTATCTGCCATATTTTTGTTACCAAATGCCATTTTAATGTAAAATCAAGTTGACTACTGAAACGTTCTCTTTTGTAATTGGTGGATAAGAATGATCGAAAGACCATTCAGTGAAAAATATTGAATTACAATATATTATCTGTTAATTCAGTTCTCTCATTTTCTCAATTGCTGTGGTATTGTCCCAGCAATTGGGAAAATTGTTTTTATTATTGTTATAGCAGTCGACTTGATTCAAAGTTTGTGATTGTGTGAATGATAGTTATGTTATACAGTTTGTCACTTTATCATATGCCAAAGACTGCCTAATAGTGACAAAGTGAGTAATAGATATTATCTAATCATTAAGTCCTTCTTTGCTTATATGTACTATTTACTTTATAAATGAATTTTAAGAGATGAAGTCTTTCCATTTCCTTTTTAAACACAATGGTGGGTTCAAGTGTGGAGAATTATTTTATTGCTGCAGTTAATACTAGATGGTAATGGTGCTCAACCTGCTGCCATTGTATTCCCCAAAGCATTGCATTTGACATAAAATCTGTGAAGGGATTGAAAGCTTTCATGATGGTTTGTCTTTCAGAATATAGGAGATTCTTCTACTGAAATCTTGCAGTGTGGCTGCTCGACTTGCAGTGATTATGTTCTGGCCTCTATGTACTCTTGAGGGGGCTGTCGTTCACTGACATTTGCCTTCTCAGACATTCTGACTTCAGGGACGTTGCTTAACTTGGGTTTTAAGATATTTTGTATATTTTAGCCAATGAGATTGTCTTTCTGTTGATATTAAGTTTTTTGTTGTTTTTTTCCCCAACACAATTCCTGTGTGTTTTCATGATTATAAATAAGGATCAAGAGATCAAAACTTAATTCCTAGACAAAATGTATGAAGTGGTAGTGTCATATGTAGTGCAATATGAAGTTATAGTTTCTACTATTTTTTAAATTGAGCCTATCTTTGCTGAACGTTCATAAAGTTTATAACTCACATGAAACCTATTTCAAAAATATTGTGGAATTAATACATTTTGATTTTTGTTCCACAAATTTCCTCACAGCTCTATGCGTTGAGAAATGTACAAGCACATTGTTGGGTGTCGTGACAATCTCATGGAATGAGGTGACAGAGGCTGAAAGTGGACCATTGACCATGGAGTTGGTAGAGCTTTCATTATGTGGACAGGCTGTTGGAATACTCATGTGGTCAGATTTAGAGACTATAATTCCTTGCTAGAGAAATAACAGTGACCATAAAGTTTTAGAAAATATCATTAGACCTACCTCTTTGCGTGAATAGTGAATCGTAAGAACTGCTACCAGAAAGATACCTAAATTAGAAGATATTTTACATCTTTAGGCATCTACAAAGGGGAAATCTTGTTTAAACAAGTACTTATAGAATGGAATTATTGTTGCCTAATTCATATTTGTTGCACAATAGTGAGGTAACTTTTATTTCTTAGAAATTATTATGCATTGTTGATTACATCTAAAAAAATTAAATGTACTTTCAGCAATATATTACCACTTATAATTATTATAATTCACATTAGGTAGTGTGGTTCTTGCTCCGAAAAGTTTATTGCATTGTTGTTTTCTTTCTGCAGGTTCCTGTTTTCAGGGAGCATTTACAGAATAGTGAGAAATTTCTCACATTTCTATTGTGAACAAAGATCCTTGAACACCAAAAAGTGATTACCTTAAGCCACTATATAGAAGCATAACCTTGCCAAAAGTCCAAGAGTAACATTTTAGTAGATTATAAACAAAATTATTGGATATTTGATTGTTTGCTCCTATTATTACCCTACAAAAAGTTACAAAACTTTATTATGATGGCTTTCAAATTGCGTAGCAAATTCATTCCAAATAGTAAAAATGCATTCGTAGAAAGTAAGGGCATTCAAGAGAAAGGAAAACTTGATCACTTTCTATGTTGTTTATTGCCAGTGTTGAAGAGAAGCACATCAGCAGTGCTTTGCCTTTCAGGGTTTTTCACTGTGATTTCATTGCTGCAGAGCAACAATAGGAAGAAATATATTTACCCTAGTAGTAAGGAAAATGGGAATAACTGAAGTTCAGGAAAATCAATTTAGGTGATTAATTAGTCATGAAAAGAGCTAAATCTATGAAAGCCATAAGCAGGTCTGGCAGAAGGTAGGGCCTTGACAGCAATTTGCAGGATTGCATAACTTTCTCTGCACTTTGTGTATGGGTTAAAAATTGGAAGGAAGAGATCAAACATGTAGAGGTCATTCTTACCTTGATGCTTGCTTGGAGCATTCACCTTGACAACATCAAGAGAAAATTCACCTCACAAAATCCCTTCATGGCTCAAAGTATTGCAAATGTTCACTAAGATGCAAAGACTTCATGAGGATGAATTCAGAGTATGGTTTCCCCGGTAATTACAGAGCAAAAATAATTACGAAAATTATCCGGTCTGACACAATGGTTGAGCTGCTGATTTGATTAAATTTTGATTTGATTTATTTTCATCAGAGATCAGTAAAAACTGTGTGTGATGTAAAAGAAGTATAACAAGCATGTTTTCTTGAGCTGTAGAATATCTTCCCTACCTTTTTTAACCATAAACAGTTGAACGATTAAAAATGCACCACGTTAGCAACATTTGAAAATTAGAAATTTTTGCTCCTGAGTTATAGAAAACTAATTTGCATTGGTAAACAAACAATGGATTTGATTTTTTTAGTGCTGCTAACAAAATTGTAATCCACACCCCTACTCTTGCCATAACTAGTAAAATGAGAGCTCAACAAAATACGATAGCAACCCATACACTCAGCTCTATTCCTACGAAATTAGGAAAAGGAGAGCTCAACAAAACAGAAGTATAGCGAAGCTACATCTATGTTCAGAAGCAATAGGAGAGACCATTTCAACTTATTCTCAATGGATGAGGGAAACTGGACAAAACAATGATGGACATGGGAACATTGACCCAGAAGCTGAAGTACATTACGTGTTGCTGGCATATTTAGTCTTTTTAAAATTATACAGGTACAAATGTTAACTAATTAATTTTTTTAGTGTTCACATATTTTTAACAATTAAACATCATTGTTAAAATAGTGTGATTTTCTTGTAGTAAGCTGATGATATTGACACCTGATGCCACGATTCCTATGATGTGTATTTTTATTACAAATATCTGTATTGCATGAAAACATGTTCTCAACCTTAAGTCAGTTTTGACAAAAAACACAAATTCATACTTAAATAGGCAATTAGATTCTAAGTTCCATAAAGAGAGGCTTGTAGGAATTGTTTGATAACATTGGCTAACTATTGGTATAACTTTTTTCTGCAATCTAAAAGTGTTGGTACATTAGGATGTACCTTCCCAATACATTACGTCAGGTCACAGACAGAAATGTACATTTGCAAAATACATGCAATGAGCTGCATAAAGGTTGACTGAATTTAAAAGAATTCTGGATTCATAATGCAATGAAATTAATTTATTGCATGTAAATTGCAAATATTTATATGGATGTTTCTTATGAGGGTTGACTGAATTGAAAGAACCAACAATTTTGTTACCTTAACATCAGCCAATTGCATATTGTTGCAAAAGAATCCCAAATGGTGCATTCATTTAGGGTTCTTTTGCAACAGTGCAATGGTTCTTTTTCAATTCAGTGTGATTGTTTGAAATGCAAAACTACATTGAAACTGTTTTTCCTATTAATTTCTTATTACAAAACCAGTCTCAAACTATACTACGTAATGTTTTTTTTTTGTGCAAAAAAGGTTTGTGACTATCAAAGATAACTGTTTTTCTGTTTCTAATTGACAAGTTTATCGCTTACATAAAAGAAAGAGGATGGGGCCTAAAATCAAAACTTATGGGATAATGAGCCCATGATCAGTTGACAAAGAATTCTAAAGATAAGTACATCATGGTTTTCATGCCAGATGATATTTCTCACTTTTACAATTGATAATTAATGTGAATTCAATGTAGAGCAATATTATGAATTTCATATTAAGGTAATTTTGAAAGCAAAATGCTGCGGTCAGTGTCTTCAAAAGCTTTTGAAAGATCTAAACATATTCCTTTGCTTCATTGATGAAGTAACATTAGAAAAGAAATTTGCTGATTCATAGATATTGGTTTTATAAATCCATGTTGAGTCTTTGAAATTGCTTAATTTTTGCTGAGAAATGTTTCTATATGTATTTCTTCTGGTGAAGAAGCTGATAATTTATGAAAACTTAATTTTACAAATAACTAAAAAACACTTTCAACTGATGCTGTAAATCATGAATTAATGATATGTAAACAAAACCTACACAAAACTACAGTGTTTTCACAGCTTTTCTATGAAGTACATTTTCAAATGTACAATTAAGTATTTTTGCCTTTTAATTAGTTATTCATTTAGTCATGCAAAAATTAGAAGATTTATTTGAGTTATCCCATTATTTATCTATTAGAGAACATGAAGTATGACACATGTTTCCTTTAATATTGATGATTTTGCACCACACCGTTAAATATTATTAATAATTAAGGCATTAGCTGATTTTGTAAATAAGAAAACAACAATAAAAATGAAAAACTTTTAATGAACATAAAAGAAATAGTGCTACATAGGAGTATACACACTCAGAACATTGCAATTTTTCATGATTGATTCAGTTTACCTCTTAACATGTCGTGATCCACCATGTTGAAGGCTTTACTGAAGTCTGTGAATACTGCATGTTCAACTGAACCTTGATTCATTTGATTAATTACACAATTAACATAATCAGATGGGAGTGTTAGTCTCCTTTGTCCTATAATGAGGTCGCGTCTAGCTAAATGGTAATGAGAATGATCTGAGATGTCAAGATGAATTGATTTGTTTATTTCAGACACTAGTCACCCCCCTAATAAAATGTTAGCAGTGGGATATTGCTCCATAAGGGTAGACAAATTGTTTAGTGTACTCTCGCAACATAGTCTGAAAGACTAGTATCTTTTAGAACAGAAACCCACCAAGTGTCATTGATTGGTGGGTTTCAGCTATCAATCAAAAGGAAATTTCCTTTAAACCCAGCTGTGGTTGCGTTAGTGTGAATGGCCACTAGAATAATTAGTCTACTGTTACTGTTGTCATTAAACTATTCACAGAATTTGCCATTGCCAAACATTCCTGTCTAGGGACTTTTTGTATGCGCCAGTCGTGGATTAATATTATTAGTGTCCACAATGTATAAACCATTAAGTCAAAAATGTATCTCAATCATGAGGGTGAAGGTAATAAATCGCAAGATGAAGTATGATAGTGAAACATCTGATGCACTTCAATAAAAATGGTCAGTCAAGGCAAAACAAAAAACACACTGGTTTGATGAATCTCTGTGGTAGGACTATTTCTATCAGTCATATTTTTGCAGTGCATGGCCTCTGATAGAGACTTCGGTTGTATTAAACTTTTGGTAAGGAAGTTGGATTTATACACCATAACAATATACAGTGCTAATACTGAACTATAATAAAAGAAATCATTTTACTGTTTACCAAGTTACTTCACAAGATAGTCTTAGTTTTAAAAAATGTTGGCCTCCATCCTAAAAAAAACTAACACAATCTGATGAAACTTTTGGTAGAGCTGTATCAAGACAGCAAAAAAAGGGGTTTCAAAACTTCTACATACAAACAATATTTATACAATCAAAAAACCCCTGGAAAAGTATTAGTTAAGCCAATTGTTAATGGATTCACTCAGGCTACTTTCACTTTGTTGAAGATGAATCCTGTGCCAGAGTTACTAACCAAAATGATTTATCCCTTAGAAAAAGTAAGTATATAAAATATTATACATTCATAACAAAAATAGTATGTACATCTAAAACATAAATTTGTTGTTCTCAATGTAAGGAAGCCCCTCCATATTATTTTGGTTATCTGAAAATATTCTATTAGTCAGGTTTACAGTTCTTGTAGTGAAACTGAGACATCACCTAACTGGCTGTGCACACTTTTATTACAAGAGGAGATAGTGATGGTAAAAGTTGCTCTTCAGATAACAAGTCTGCTTTTTTCAAAATTTTTGTGACAAATTTCTTATTTTCTAAAATCACAACAACCATCGTAATAAATAATAAATAGCAACACTCTTGAATACATTACAAATAACTCTTGATATTTTACTCCATAAATCCATTAAGTGCTCAACTTTAAATTAAAAAAAATAAATATTTTTTAGAGCTTAAATATTAAAAAATATTTTGAAATTAGAAAAATCAAATCAGCATTGGGTGAACACGAGTTTCTGAAATAAATAATTCAATTGACACAAGTAGAAATTAAGAATTCCAAAAGACAAAAAATGCAGTATCACTACATCTTAGAATGTAGTTCAATAAAAGAATGAAACTTCCGCTATTCTTTATGAAGTCAAAGTTATATTTGATGCCCCAAAAAAAGATGCTAGTTGAAAAATTCATGATTATCTAGAAGCTCATGAACATAATATTAATATGAACTTTGAGAATTTTAACAAAGTAGCTTCAAAATTTAATATTTTAGAACTCAATAATTTTAATGAAGACCTAACAAAAGGGAATTGAAATTTTTGGCCAACATGTATTTTGTTCACATAGATGCAGAAGCACTTACATTGCAAAAAATATTTTAAAAAACCTTTCATTCCTTCTCCCTTATTTCACTCTATTGAAGTATACAACAACTAAAGTATGAATTATAAGGTCACTAAATTACATATCACATACTACAATTATTAATGTGTTCATCACATACTACAATTAATAACGTAATTTTGAAGACAAAAAAAAAGTGTAAGTAAACCATATTTAGTTTATTCTCACAATTTTGAGAGAAAAAAAAAATTAAGAGAGAATATATAGGTTATATTTCTAAAGTTTATATATTCGTAATGCACCGAATGTCACTCAAATGATATTCAATTGAACGGAAAAATGAAATCCAAATAAACCAAAAAAATTGCAATGGGATTTGTTGAACAAACAAAGCCCGCGCACCTTCAGCAACAGTCACTGACATCAGTAGCAAGAAAAATACTATTGCCATACATTAATAAGGACAGCAGAAAAAAAATTGACAACCACCAACATCTAACACAAAAAATATCAACCAACAAAAACTCAAAACAATCCCGACAATTGACAGAATAACAGCAAACAAATCCAATTTTACAAAACATGTAGCCATACGTTTTCACGTAACTAAACGACGCGCTATAGAAAGACAGCACCAAACAGCACCCTGTCAGAAGCTTTTAGCGACATCTAGTAGAGAAAATATTAACTGAATTCTCACAAAAGAATATAGCAAGCAAACACAAAACTTTCTGGATTACAGAGACATCTAACAGGCAAACAATGTACCAAAGAGTCCCAGTTTACCTCATAGATAGCAGCACAAACAATGGCGACCTGAAAGCCACTCCAATTTGACAACAGGTTTCCACCAACGAGTGGGAGGCCTCACACAGAGTTCAAAGACAGTGTATTACAACACCATGCTTCCATCACACCAAATACGGTACTTCACCCACCAACTTGCAGATCCCGTTTCCACACACAGCCGCCGCAGCCGTATCCGTACCCACCACCCATCCCGTCTATGCCTCCATCTCCATAAATACGAGACTTGCAGCCCCCGTTTCCACACACAGCCGCCGCAGCTGTATCCATACCCACCACCTGCGCCTTCTAAGCTTCCATCTCCACAAATACGAGACTTGCAGCTCTCGTTCCACACACAGCTGCCGCAAGTGTATCCAAACCCACCACTCATCCCGTCTATGCTTCCATCTCCACAAATATGAGACTTGCAGCCCCCGAAGGAGATGTAGTTCACATATGTTTACGATTTATGTTAGTGACCATAGTATTATCATCCAATGACAATGACTTGCGAGTTCATATGGATGGAGTGCCATAGTAATTTAATTGAGATTGGCCGGTGCTTATGTCTCCACCCTTGAAAAACACACACACTCCTTGATGACATAATTCCTTTGATGTCATAGTTTCTTAAGTACTTTTTCCCCAAGTGATGTTTGATGTCAATTGATACATTATGATGATTAAAAATAAAGTAAAAGAATATGATTGTTTGTACACAATGTTCTAATTTGTTGTGTTAACTTAGTATTGCTTCTCAATGAAATGTTTAATTTTCTCTTTTTAAAAGGAAAGCATGTGATTAAGTGAAATTAATGCTTTGAAAAATATATATTTTTTTTTATTTGTGTTAACAGCATTATAATTCACTTAAAGGTACAGGAGGAGAAAGCTGAACCTGGAACAAATCCGAGATAGAAAAGAATGATATTGAGCCAGAATTAATTTTTATTAATGATAGACACAAATTTTCATCTCTTCATTGTTCTATAACACATTTTTGTGAAATGAGTGATGCAGCCCTACAAAAGCCTTTGTTCTTTACTCTGTGGAAAGACAGACTGTATTGAAACCTGTCTTCTCATTTCTCAGATTGAATTCGTTGTGGCCTATTTGTAGAACCAAACTTTTCATACATATTCAATTCTTAAAATTTGTAAGAACAGTTGAAGAAAACAATGGGAATACCAGGAAAACCATGGATATGATTAAAGAATACTGGTGAAACTAATGACCAGCAGCAGAAAAATTCTGCTGGAAAAACTACTCAAAATGGTTTTTAAAATGTAGCACACACACAGCTCAAGATCAACAAATAAAATACCTACATATGACTCCACTTTAAATTTGAATATTTTAACAAGAACAGACTTCAAGAATACTGCAATAACATCATTTAGTATATATACATTACAACAGTTCTTTACATTCCAAGAATATGAAAAAACTTGCTGTTTCATGATACAGTATTACGTAAATGGCAAATATTTAATGGTGGGTAATTACTATCTTGGAGTTTTTCTGTCACATGATGTTAGCTATGTCATAAGCACTGAGTATGAAATATCAGTCAGTATTAAGAGGGTGAAAATAGGAAGAATAATGCAATAAAATATTTGCAGTTTTCAGTCAAAATAGAAGCAGTTTCATTGTTTTTGGATATTTTTCCAAGTTCTTCAGTTTCTAACAAAAAAATAGTCATCTCTAACATGTCTGAAGGCTGCTTAATTTTTTTCTATTTCTGCAATCATTAGAAAGTAGTAATAAGATAAAAGGAATAGGCCAACAGGCCTAAACATTGTATTGTCATGAAAATTTTTGAGAAATATTTTAAAAATCACATACTTGCAACAGACATCAAAATAATTACAACCCACAAATAGAGAGTAGATTCTCTCACAATAATATTGTAGAAATTCAATTAATTAAAAATGTTGAAATTTCCATTTGTGAGAACAGTGATGATAAAATTAAAGAAAATATAGAGTTTTATAAAGTAGATGCTTCTTTTGATAGAGATTAAAGTAGTTCATTTAAGGGAAAAACATATTAATTTAAAAGTACATTACAAAAATAATTGGGACTGTACTTCAAAAATATAACATAATAATTTGAGTAGGTGAATAGAATACATGAAGAGCTCATAAAATACACAGATTAATTCAATATTAACATTTGGATGCTTGCTCATACATGTAATACAAAAGGTTGCAAAGTATGTTTTGTTCAAAATGTTGCTGCAGGACTGCACAAGTGTTGCTAATTCTTGCAAACCAATGGACAATATTTGAACATAATAGGGATTATCTTAAGGTTTTCAAACACATGTTCTTTATTTCAGTTCTGAAAATAAATTATCTTCATGTTTAAAAAGAAATTTAAAGACAAAATATTATTAAGGACATCATCTTTCTTATTTAGTTTATTTATTTACTGTTAGATGAGTTATAATTATTTATTTATTTATTTATTTATTTATTTATTTATTTATTTATTTATTTATTTATTTATTTATTTATTTATCTATCTATCTATCTATCTATCTATCTATCTATCTATCTATCTATCTATTTATGTCAAAAACAGTTAAAAACTTTGTGTGAAACGCTATGGGGAGACGTTAATTTCAAGTTTCTTAAGTTCGTAGTCTAACCTAGTACATATTGTTTAATTTACATTTTCTAGAGAGGATAAGTATTCCTTTTAATAAGAAGTATAGTAACAAGTGTATATACAATGAATCACATTATTTCTTAGCTATGGAGTATAAAATCAATTTTCTTGTTCCAGTTATAGTATTTATATAATGTATCCAAACCTATTCTTTCTGGAAGAGGAGATATGAATACCTAGTTCTGTTAAAAAAATAAATTTATATTTTGTTTGTAAATAAATGGGGTGACAACATATTTTCAGCAAATACAGGTGTCTACTATTATAATACATGAAACAGTTATCATGTTCATCAGGAGTCAGTATCCACAGATCATTATAAAAAATGTACATACAATACATGTATATTATTTTATAACACATTGCCAGGTAACATTAAACAATTGAATTCGATAAACAAGTTTAAGTGTCAAGTAAAATGTTTTCTGCTGCATAACTGTTTCTATTCAATTAGAGACTATACTGTGCCTCAAAAAGGAAAGTTATACTAATTTTAATAATGATATTGAGTTTATAAATTCCTATTTGGGATGAATAATTCTAAACAACCTGTAAAATGTATTGTATCTCAGCTTCTGGGTCAATGATCTCTATCTCGTTCACGTTTTTCACCCAGTTTTCCTGATTCTTTGAGCGATTGTTGAGATGACTTCTTTGCTTCTGGTTCATAAATGTAAATGTTCATAAATGTAACTTCACTATCCACACACCTTCTAGAGTTCTGTAGGAAATATAATGTTCTTATGCACGAAGGGAAACTGATCAAGATTGATCCTGAGGATACCTGATCAAGATGGTCTTCGAGGCTGAATTACAATCCTTTTATACAAAACTTGAAATAAAATTTTATACTCTAAAATAATTGTTATTTGCAGCAAAGAAGTTTACATTTCAAGTTTGCTTCTACTGTCTTATTTTTAAAATTAAATTTGTATTGTCATTT